AAAAAAAAAAATCAATGTCTTGCATCGATTATCATGCATAAAAGGCAACCTTTTTGGGATCTCCTCGGGCATAACATCCTCAAATTATTAAAGTGATGGTTTCACCCCATCATGTATCTCACTTTGTTCCTCATTTTCTTCCATCACCATAAGTGCATAAGCAAACTCGGATTCCTCCATTACTTTCTCAAACATGGATTAAAATTAACCTCCTCCCTACTTTTCTTGTCTCGTACATGGCATTAATACAATCTTCTCTCTGTTGAACTTAAAAAAGTACATGTTCCTAAAACCATCATACATAATCTGCTAATAAAATATCATGGCCTCCTCAACAAAATGTGGCAAACATTTATGGGAAGCACATCACATGACACTTTATCTTCATACTTCTTGTCGATCGAAAAGAAAATGATGCTAGATTGGTGAAGATAATCACAACTTGTAGAAGCAAACACTAACAACCACTATAACCGAAACCTTCGGGAGCTATTTCATAGTAAATAATCCCCAAACATAAACACAAGCAATCTACAAACACAACTAAGTCAAAATTCAACTCAAAACACAAGTCAAGGTAGTTGAATATCAACTCATGCAAAACCACTATGAATTTTGAGTATATCAAAACCGTACCTCCTTTTTTAGAATTTTATAAAATTTTAAGCAAGGTTTAAATAGACCTAACATAACAAATAGACAACCCTAGCCATAACTAAGCATTTTCCAAAATGATCCGGTAAGGAGCAAGCTCAAAAATTCTATTTATTTACTAAACATTCTAAGCAATAAAATAAATATGCATGCCCAAATAAGAACCCTAATACAATTTCTACCACCACAAGAAATTAGATGCACTTACATAGATCCGTAATCCAAGAAAGGATATATTTGCCACCACCATAAGAAAATTATACCCAAATGATCTAAAATAACACTTTAGTTGATTAAGCCAAGGGTAAGTATAACACGTCCTAGTCTAAGGAATGTAAAGAAAATTCTCACATAAATTTTATTGTCAAAATATCATAAGTTTTTCATATAAAATAACAAAAAGATGCTTAAATAGTAACAAGAAAATTCACCGATGGTTAGATAAATCTTATCCAATTAGACTATAAAAACTAACCCATGCCAAAAAAAAAAAAAAACTCTAATCCTATTTGGACTTTTATGCAATTATTATTTAGTAAGGACTTTAATTATGGTTATCCATATTAAATAAGAGTTTACGTAAAATAGGATTTCTAACTAATTATGACTCTACACAAAACGAAGACTCATAAACAATATCTATAATACACAAAGATCCAAACTCTTTTCTCTCTAGGCATATTCAAACACATCCTCAAAATTAGGAATCCACATCTTATGAGGAATAACTAATTTAGCCTAAATCCAAACATAAAAGATATCCAATAAAATAATAATCCAACCCAAAATTAGGCCATAAATGATAAAGAACAACAAAATAAATATGAGAGATGGGTTGAATATTTCAACTACATGAATCATAGTGATTGATTATTAACTCTCCCATCCATGCCAATATCAATGGTGTAAGAAGCATGAATGTCATCATCATCCTAATCATTATATATATGTGGTGAATTTCAATCAACATAATTCCTAGTATCACCATATACATCATGCTCAAATACACTCACTTCACTATGCACTATAACCGAATTATTATGGATGATATCCCCAAGTAATTTACCTAAGAAACAAGATAAAATAATAGAATTATCTTGAGTTATATCTAGATAGTCAAAGGCTTTATCCGCATAGGCATCAAGGTAATCTTTCATCTTTGCATCATGAATGTATGAGTATTTTCATAACCATCACGCATGACCTTTCTATCGAATTGCTAAGGCATCCCCAAAAGAATGTGGCAAATATCTATTAGAACAACATCGCACCAACATACTATCCTTATAAGCTGACCTTATAGCAAACATTATACAATGGCTTATTAGTGTTGGTGCCCAATATCTAACCATGTTTGGATGGGCTTATGTTAATATGTTATTGCATCATTTATTTTAATAATAATAAAGAAGTCATTCTATTAATTCTTATATTTACATATTGATAAATTTAGTAGAATTAGATAGAAGTCCTTATGACATACATTTGCAATAGTGATTGATCGAAAGATGTTAGACAAACACTAATGCACATAAATGATATCATTAAATGTCCCAAGTAATAGCATCGGCAAGAATGGACATTGACAATATACAAATAGACTTGTGAGTGTTATGCTCATGCTATATATGATAGTAGTAGGAGATCTCACACCTATTAGCATAGTAATGCCAAAGCAAGCACTTAGGTGATTTATGTTAGAGAACATATCACTAGACTTGACTCGCCATGAGAACCCATTCGGTTTTAGTCTATGGAAATTTCATACGAGATGGGTACAAATGGTCCTTAGACTTGAGGTCATCATGGTTATCTCATTGGAGGACTTATGCACTTTGACACTCATTTCAATAGAGCCATTAATAGGTTGCACATGACCAATTTGTTAGGTACACTAAGAATCCAATGGAGATAGGTGTATGGCTAAGATAGGACATGTCATTCCTTGTATGTTAAAGGAGTTGTCACACTTGCACTTCGATAAATTTCTACTCAATAAATCCGTGATCATAGTAGGAGTACACCAATAAAGCATAGTTGGTTTACTCTAAGAGCTAAGACACTTGGGAATCGAAGAAAACTTATGTGATCATAATCAAATAAGACTAATAACTAAGTTTGAGATTACACTTGTGATAAGTTGACACGAGGACTGAATTGTATGGTAACCATGCTCGTGAAAGATAATAATGGATTAACTAATATTCCTAAAAAATTGGGTAGTCATGATGCCTTCCTAGAAGCCAATTTTGATTTATGTATCAAGAGAGGAAAGATGAGTCTTTTAGTCTTGATACATTGCCAACATATCTAGGAGCCTATTGAGTCACACACATAAGTTCAAGTATTCACATTACAAATGAGAAGCAAAGATATTGAAAAAGTTTCCAAAATGAAAAGTTTCCTAAAATGAAAAATGAAAAGTTTCCTAAAATAAAAGTTTCCTATTTTAGAAATCGATTTCCTAATTTGGAAGTTAGTTTCAAATTTGAAAATAAAGAACCTAAAAGGAAAGGAGTTTACTAATTTAGGTTAAAGGATATTTTGAGAAATTATTTCCTAATACGAAGCTCGTCAAAATAATCTAAGAATATTTATTTGAATAATCCAAATAAATTAATTGGGCTAAAATAGTTTTGGTTCATTAGGTTTAATTAAAAGCCTTAAGATAATTTTGGTGGAAGGATAAACATCAACCTTATTGGATAAGAATGAATGTTTTAAAGATAAACATCAAGTAGTCCGCATATAAAATAACTTTTTATCCTTAGAAGATAAGGAACAACAACTTAGAGTCCTTTATGGACTCGAAAGTCGCTACTTTTAATAGAGAATTTTAGCCAAAAAGAAAAAAAAAGGTAGGAAAAAATTTGGCCAGCCTTCGAACAAAAAGGGCACACGCCCAAGAGAGAAACATGAGAGAATATAGTTTTCTCCTAAAATCCTAGCAAAAAATTCTCATATCCTCTCCTTTAAAGTTATTGCAAAGTTGTCCGAGATTGATTTTTAGAGGAAATATTTAAACGGAAAAGGTGGAGCTAGCACCCCATCAATTTTGAGTACTTCTCTGTGGATATTTGGGTCGCGTGGATCATCAATAGAGGCCGGACACGTGGACAACTAATCAATGAAAAGGAATTTAGATCTACGCTGCAAGAGATAATCTTTTACTTTTATCTTATTATTCATGAATGTATGATTAGTAGATTCAACGGCATGATCTTAGGGCCCTTAGATGAAGGAAAATTTTTATTTATTCTACACCTCTATAAGATATATGATCCTTCATGGCTTTTGTCTACTAATGGCTCGCCTCTTTTCCTAATCTATGACATCGTATATGGTTCGGAGTGATTAACCATAGCAAGTCTTAACTTCTCAACCATATTCAATGAAACAAGTGAAGAATGAGAGGGAGAGAAGGTTCTTTGTAAGAATTGGGCATGTAAAGCAATCCTACCCTTATTTGCATTCGTTTGTCTCTTTCAATCTCTACTTGTCTCTTTTTTTTTTTTTTGCGAGAGAGAGAGCATTGGGCTATGTCAAGGGAGGGTAATTAGCTACTAGAGATTTTATGTTTTTTCTTGACTTTCCTTTTTTAGCCCCTCCACTCTCTCTTGTGTTTACATTTGTTAAAGGGATATTTATGGTTTAAAATTAGTTTTAGATTATTATTTTAATTTGGTCCTCATTTCCTCCATTTTTTGTCGTAGTCCTTTACTTTTTCATTTTTTGATTACCTTCCTCAATTAGATTTGCTTTGATCCTTATTTTATTTATTGTCCCAATTTTACCTTTTTTGTCTTTTTTAAATTATTATTATTCTTTTATGATTTTTTTCCTTTTAAAACTATGGAGGAATAACAAAATGCTATTAAATCTTGAAAATAATCAAAAATTATGAAAAACTATGAATTTTGGATTTTTTGAAAATCTTGCAAAAATAGGAGGTCAAAATTGACTTATGACAAATAATTATTAGATGCTATTTTCCTTTACTATAAAATCCCATTTTCCAAATGTATTCCTTGTAAACATAAAAAATATTTCTAACATATGGGATTCTTAGGCATATTTTATAACATAGTTGGGCTTGGATTAATATTTCTAAATGCCCTTTTCTCTTAATTTTTTGGGCTATTTCTTTTGGTTCCATTATGGAGTGTAGATGGGAAAACGAAATATCATTCACCGATATTTTCACAAAACAGTATATCATAAAACAATGTGGAACACAACACCAATGGAAACGACGGGACTGCTGCAAGCACAAGCTAGATTCCCATAATTCTTCTGATTTATATTTTGAGAATTCACTGTCTCTCTGATTTGCAAAAAAGAAAAAGATGGATGCTTCAAGGTACATGGATAAGCAAATCACCGAACTTTCCAAATCCCAGTCCCTCAATTTCTTGGACAGTGATAATAAAGAAGAAGAAGAAGAAGAAGATGGAGATCATGGCTTCGAATTCAACACTGTTCGCTCTCTTTCACAATCGGACAACAAATTTCTTGATGGAACCAACCTCAGGGTATCCTTTCTCTCTTTGTATCATTAGTTCTTATTGTATTTGATTTGTTTGGCTGCTGGGAAAATATTGGGATAGGTCTTTGGATTGAAATTATGAGATATAACATGAGTGTACACAAACCCTTTAATTGGTTTGTGTATGTCTTGTCGAAAATTTGATGAAAGTATACAAGACCCCTTGTTGAATTTGGTGTTTTGGGTTTAACTTAATATAGCTTAGTTTGTACTGGTATTACACTATCTGTCCAAATTATAAGCTGGCTGTGCAATATTTATGAGAAAAAAACTGAGGGTTTTGTGATTAAGCAATTACAACTTTGTTTTTTTTTTTTGACTAATGGTATAAGCCTGGCTGCCGATATTTTTTTGGAGATAGTGTTCTGATATATGTTTCTTTACTGCAATGTCTGCTATATTGCTACTTTCAGATGGTTTAATTGTTGTTTGGGTGATAACCTACAGGGTTGGAGTTCAATGGATCGAATTGATTCTGCAAAATTCTCTGCTGAGAATGTTGGGGTTTTCAGCAATGCAGCATTGATTTCCGAGATCGATAGAAAGATGAAGGAGCATACTGACATATTCCTGCACTCTTTAAATTGTCTTAGTGCTCGAATGTTGCAATTGGAAAGTAGAAAGCGCCAAATAGAAAATGTTGTTGATGATGTAAAGGAATTGGTGGAATTTAATCAAGGGAAAACTGATGGAAAGCTAAGGGAATTAAAGAATATTCTTGTGGAGGTACTTAAAACTTCTTCAAGTTTTTATTAACTTTTATGTTCATCCTCAAGGGATGATCATTATACTTTAGGCTAACATTAAATGAGATTGGGAGGCTTGGTAGGGGCAAGTGAATGAAAAAGAAAACAACTTCAATAGGCTTAGGAGTTGGGACAAATAGGTGGTCTTCAAAAAAATATATCTTATGAAAGCTTCAGTTATGACATCAGACTCCTTAAAGTCACTTGGTATACAAACTTACTTGTTATCAACCTTTCACAACTGTTGAAAATTTCAAATGCATTAGACTTACTAAATTAACTAGTTGGTCTTATATATTTGCTGCTTGAGGTTCATAAAGAAATGGTAGATGATGTAGGATGATTTGGATGAATGTGTCCTTGTTCTTTGCAGTTAGTTAGGTCTTGGCAAGATTATGGATTTATTATTTTTCCGTGAAAAGTTTATGTGTAATTTGGTTGGTAGTAATGGAGTAGTTTTACTTTCTGATTTTAATTTGGTTCTTCCTCAGGGTTGTATGGTGAATTGGTCATTGCTTTCAACTCTTTTCTCTATAGTTTCTTGGTTTTCCCTTTTGTTAATCCTGGTTATTACTGCCAGTTATGACGTACTTTGACCCTTCTCTTACTTAGATATATGCATTGCTATTCTTATTTGATCTGTTGGACTCCTGGAACAACTAAATATCTATCTTTCATGTTTAAGCACAACACACATGTCTATTGTCATGACTTGCAGTTCTTTGTACCTATCTTCCTTGATTCATTGAGGTTTGTAACACACCATACTACACCTAGAGAGTTTCCAATCTGTTTGAGATGCTAATTCCATAAGATGCATATCATTTGAGCTTAAATCCTAAACCTTCTCTCAAGTCCATAGCATAGGATTTAGATCTTTCTTGGTAGAATAAGCGTGTTATGGTACCCCTTTATTATGGAGAAGTCGCTTTCTAGGTGCCCATAGAAGTGAAAAGTATCCATGACCTTGAGTTTGGATTCTGATTCAAGTTGATGTCCATCCAGGTGTTAGAAAGACCCTTGCACATGCAAGGCCAAGGAGACTCTCAATTGCTTGGCTCCCAAATAAGTGGGAGTAGAACTTGATGGTCTGATTGAGACGAGTGGATTCAGTAAGTTGGCTTTTGTAGTTGGTATCCTCTTAGTAGAACAAGTTGTGTGCTCCCATGGTTTTGTTTTGGTTGAGTAAGGGAGCTAGATGCCCATCTATGGCGATGTTGCACTTGGGTTGTTTAAAATGCTTTCATTTGAGGAGCAGTAAGCTTAATATTATGGTGGCTCACATACAACACCAAGATTGTTGATATCGACAATGAGTTTGGAATTCATCATTGGTTAATAATGATTTTCTTCCTTTTGTGTGTGTGTGTGTGTGTGTGTGTGTGTGTGTGCATTCAAGCTTAAGAAAACTCCGGTCTTGGTGTTCTTCTCCCTTACAGCTGGTAGCAGAGTAGATGGTTCTGCTAGGACAATAGAATATGCAGCTTGTTTTCCCTTAGTCGGTGGCTTCTATAGTTGAGTGAGCTACTAGCTAACCTCTTAAAAAGAAAAAAAAAATAGTTGGTTCATCCCTAGCTACTCTGGACATTAGATCTTGATGGTTGTCTGTTGTCTTTACATTGAGCAAAAGCAAGAATGATTTGTAAGAACATGTGTGACCTTTGTATGCATATATAAGCTTATTTTTTTGGTTTGAGACAATGTTCATTCATGTATATTCAGGCTTTCACCTTTTACGGCTGTTCCTCTTGCTCCTCCAATTGGTCAACGAGTCTTATGAGAAAAATCTTAGATGGCTCAAGGCTTTTTAGTATCCATCTTTTCTCCACATCTTCATTTGCCTTTTTTTTTTCTTTTTTCTTTTTTTCCCGTTCTAACAATCCCTTCGAATTTGCAATCCCAAAGTAACTTTTCTGTTGAGGTATGATTGTATTGGAATTGTTTAATTCTCTGTTTTCAGGTCAGTTTTCTATTTTGTTGTAGATACTTGCCATGTAGAAGCATCACAGGTCCAAAATATAACCAGTGAATAGGACTTCACATATCGAGGCCTTCTTAACTTTTGTAGATGTAGCACATATGTGGTCCTTGTGCCTGAAAAGATAGAAAATATACATTTGTGAGGGTTGAATCATTCATTCATTATTATCTCACAAAAGTATTAAACAGTTGCAATTGATTTTCATTATTCTCCCAAGGGAGAGGGACGTTAACTATGAAGTCAGTGTTGCTTGTCGACATTATTTACAATTTTACTCTAGCAACATTATTTACAATTTTACGCTAGCAACATTATTTACAATTTTACTCTAGATCGCTCTGCAGAAAGATGGTTATAACAGAGAGAGGTCCATAGAAACAATGTAGCAGTACTGACAACTCCTTTGAGGGAGACTGCTGATCAATAGTTACCCATAGGTGAGATTGTTCTCACCGTCTTGTATCTTTTGCTGTACAAATGCAATATTGCAATGCAGGTCATTGGTAGCATTCTGAAATCAACATGTGTGCCTGTTGAACAATGTGATCTTTGTTGGATCTGGATCTTCAACTTTAGAAGATCTGAGCAGTATCCAAATACTTGAAATCATTATGAATGATAATTAATGTAGAGTTATTCAATCAAGTGGAAATTTTATTAAAGGAAAATGTACTGCATTCAAAGAGTAGAAAGGACGTCTTGGAAGAAAATAATTGAGCCATAAATATCATGGCAGATATTTGACTTTCCTTTTTGTTAATTCTTTTTTGTTTGTAAGTCAATGGAATGTGATTCAAATAATACTAGAATATATAGTATCTGTGGTACTAGAATTAAAGTTAGAATTTCATGTACTTTCAGGATCTATCGATCAGATCAGTTTTGCTGATGTAAGAGTTGTGTGCAGATCCTATGCCACTGTATCCACTTATCTACCATCTGAATCTTAGCTAGGAGCAGTACTCATGAGGTCATTGAAATTCGCATTATGTGTTCTCACATCTTTGTACACTTGTCTCTATTTCCTGTATGTGCGAATTGTATAGCCTTTGATGTAAACTAAATTTGGTAATGTGTGGTGGCATAGACCATATGTTTTTTCATATCAAGCAAAACCTCTGTCATGTATTTTCCTCCAAATCTTTCACTCTCAACAAGTGATAAATAACAAATTTTGAATTTTTGTTGGAAACAATGGTGGGTTGGGTTTGACAGTCACTGATGGATGCATGTGCAATGCTTCTTAACATGGTGACTTAATGCAGGTTCAAGGTGGTGTCAATGATTTGAGAGATAAACAAGATATAGCAGAGGTGCAGCTGCAGCTGGCAAAGCTTCAGATGTCCAAAATCAACCAGCAAGCGGAAAATCAAAATGCCACTGTTCAAGCAGGTTTGAATCAAGAAGCAACGTCATCAGTCTCTCAGCAATCCCACCAGCTGCTTCCCATGCCAGCTGCTTCTCCACAACTTCTTGCTCCCTCTTCTAATGTTACAAGCCTACCTCCTCAGATTCATCCTCCAGCAACACCTATAGCAACAGCACCACAGCTTCCCAGCCATCTGCTCCAAAACCAGACTGCTATCCCCTCTGTTCCACAGCAAGAACCTTACAATCGACTGCTAGTTCCTATTCCGGAAAGCACATATCAGCAGTACCAGGTTCCTCCAGCTCAGCAGTCCTATAACCACCAACCTTATCAACCAATGCCTAATTTTCCACAAAATTTACAGTTACCCGAAATACCTCAAGTGCAACCAGGCTCCACTATGGTTAATCCGCAAGTCCCAAGCCATCATTCTGAAGAATTTCCTTGTGTGCCACCTCATAGCATCTCTCAACCACCTGGCGGGCCTCCACCTCTTCGACAGTATAACGTAGGTTCTACTCAGCAGATCTATCCTCAATCCTCAAACAGGCATTATGTAGAGTCTAATTCTGCAAGTTTGCCACCACAAGGACTGCCACTACATGGGCAAACACATAATATGGACTCCAATCGTTATTTTGCTTCTCCAAGCAACAATAGCAGTTCACCTATAAAACCATGGCAACCCTTACGATATTCTCCAGTCCTGGGGGGTCAAAGCAGTTACACACAATTGCCCATCACCCGTATACTACCACATGCTATCCCAACTGCCTCTAATGTTGATGCTGGATCGGGATCAAGTTCTGGTGGTAGTGGAAACAGGCTACCAGTGGATGATGTTATAGACAAGGTTGCTGCGATGGGATTTCGTAGAGACTTGGTGAGAGCAACAGTGAAAAAATTGATGGAGAATGGGCAGTCAGTTGACTTGAATGCGGTACTGGATAAACTGATGAACAATGGGTAACCTGGCCACATTACGGAGGGTTCGTATATTGGAATTATATGTTGTTTTCAGATGATTGGTTTGATTTATATGCAATGCGCAATGCTCTACCATTTGTGTATGTACATTCCTTGATTGATAGGTTTTTACACCATTTCCTATTTTCGTATAACTCGTGATGTAAATTAATACTGGAAATGGCTTTGATCCATGGTTCTGTCTTTTGCTAATGGAGAAGGTGAGTTGAGTTGCTGTGTAAATTAGGTGCTTCAAAATGATACTGATATGCTCTGTTGTTTGTGGATGCAAGTACTGTTTACCATGCCTGGATTGTGCACATGCTTACTGCTGCTGTATTCTGGAACGCATCATTTTTGTTTTCCTGAAACTCCGACCTCTTCTACTAATATATTTACGTTCCTTCCTGTTGTTTCTGAGTTACATGAATTGCCAAAATCACAAAGTTCACAACATCCTTTTTTTCCCGTTTGATCTATAATTTATCATTCTTATTGAACCACGGTAGCCACGGTTAGTGGTTTTTTTGGGTTTTTTTTTTAAAAAAAAACCCAAATGCTTAACACATTTAAAATGCTTCGTAATGACAATTGACCAAATCCTGTGGTGTTTTCGAGTGACTCGTAAAGTTCTCTCCTTCTAGAGGCATGCATTGATGCATGTGCGGAAAGAAATGGGAAAAGGTGATTAGAGAGTGAATCATCCGCAGAAAAGAGAAATCATGCAGTTCTTTGGGCACCATGTTTCCTTCCAAGGATCTGTTGTACAAATCATCTGAAAAGTTTATGTCTAATTCTTGCCAAATTGGCTTCAAACTGGTTACGATTCGTGGGCTTAATAATTGTATGGACTATGGAGTCTTGTTTCCAGATGCCTCTGTGATGCATTAAGATTATGAGGTCCCATGGTAAAACAATTGCAAAGTTAGGTAGCTTCCTTGAGCCACTGCGCCGAGTTTCTCACAGTTCAGCTGTGACAAGTCAATGGTTCACAAGAAATGACTGGAAGTCAACGATTTCCTTATTTAGTTCAAAATTGTTAAAACTTTTTATAATTCAACATTTAATGCTAATAAAATTTTTGCAACGTGTGACATGATATAAATTATTTCATTTACATTCAAAATCCAAACATAAACCTGATGAACTTGAATGGAAAATATATAACTTCGAAGAGTGAGGGAAAGCTTGGGTCATTTTTGAAGGAAAAACTACTGCCACGTGAGCAAGTGAGTGGTGCAAAAGAGGAAAGAATGGAGAGAAAGCTCGCATGCGTATATGGAGGGTTGGTCTGATTAGTTGGCTATGGCCTATGTGTCAACTTTTTAACCCGTTACATGCGATCACATAGCCGGAGGAATAATCGGAAAGATTTATTATTTATTAAAAGAGTAATTTATGGTAGTCAATTTTTTTTTTTTTTAAATATAAGTATATATAAGTTTGAGCATAATTCAGTGTTTTTAACATAATATGGTGACATCATGGCCTAACTCATAGCTGGCCTACTGAATTTATTACCAAGTAGGGGACCTTATTAGTTGCAGTTGACAAAATGTTCACCTCAATGATATATCATGATTGGTTAGTTGGTAAACTTGAGAATTGAGAAGGACCATCTCCATAAATGAATGCAACTTACAAGACACAAATTCTTGCTTCCATCCTAGATTGAGGACCATTTTTTTCGTAGGCCATCAATCCTATACTAGAGATTACCATGACTTAGCTCTCAAAAAATTATTAATATTCGGTCCCAGGTCTTGAATGCCCTAGCTAGTTAGTCTTGTTTTTCCAGAGTGCCTGATTTTGTGGACCCCAAATAAACTAGCGGTCCAGCTTCTTTCTGGACATTAAGAATTTAGTTGTTCGATCCCTTTCATCTTTATTTCGTCCTGGCGGATTTGGAGAAAGAAACAGCACATAGTTGGGGCTGCTAGTCCCACTAACGCCGACTGCTGCTGTGCTTTGCTGTTGGACTCCACACTGGACTGCTTCGACTCTAGTGATAGGATAATAAAAGGTGGGAGGAATTATTGCAATGCCAGACAAGGAAGTTTGTGGATTCTTTGTTTATAATTGAGTTAATTGGAGTCAACTTTCGAACCCATTTGTCATGCCCTCGTGTTTTACTGTCTTTGGCAGACACAAAAAGACAAGCTGAACCTTGTAGAGTCACATGAAAATATTGTGAAAAAAAGGGCCTTAAAGATGGGGTGTGAAAAACTTTCTGCATTATGGGACAGCTATGTGCTTATTTGTCACTCTAAGGTTGCCTATTGTTAAAAAAGTTACTTAAGTGGTGAGAGTCAACTAACAATGGAGTCCATGATTTCGGGCGGTGATTGGTTGACAACATGTTGTCAAACAATACTGTTCACAACATCCCATGTGGCAGCCAAATCCTACAAGCTCGCTGCAACTCTGCATCGGAGCGCATCAAGGGGATGAAACAGTTATGGAAAAAAAAAAATAGAAAAATCGAATAAAAAACACAAGAAGAGAGTGGATTTTCACCGTCAGACCCCACCGTCAGCGAAACAACTCCAAATGAAAGTTCTCGCTGCCAAGTGTTCATTGATGCCAAATTTTGAGGGAGAAATTATGAACCTGTAACTCCACGTCATGTAAGAATCCCTTCTATCTATTTTTTAATATGTATATATTTTTTACGTGTAGAATAAAATAAACCTATCATTTAATAAAACAATTAACTTTTCATCTTCTCTCCAACCTCTGCTGTCTCTCTCTCTCTCTCTCTCTGGTGCCAAGAAAGACTTCCTTCACCATCTCTCTCTCAGCTATAAAATTGTGTCAACAAGTAGCAATTTTCTTGATGTCTTATTACACAGACCAATAAGTAATAATGGCAGAGATTCAAATGAGCTGGTCAATCAATGCAATTTTCTTCTAAATAATGGCAGACTTATTACATAGACCCGTAAGAAACCCATTGCTAGACATGGAAGAACAGCCACAGACTTAAGACTTGGGTCAATCCACGTGTTGCAGCTCTTGATTTCTTTCCCTGTCTCTGGGTTGTTCTAAGCTACTAAGTTTCCTGCCCTCTCTGGGTCATTGTACCAAGGAGAGAGAGAGCTTTTTCTTCTGCGTTTTTCCTCCCCTCTATCATTAGCTCCATCCCCTGTTCTTATCAAGAAACACTAGGGAATGCATATGCAAAGCTATGGTTGTTTGTTCATGGTGATAGGGACACACTAGGGAATTGTTTGCTTCAAGAAAATACAATCCCAAGTCTATTTAACTAAGGAGAGATAGGGAGACGGGTTACCATTTTCGTTGCTTAACAAAAATACAAAAAAGGTCTCAATTTTGAAAACAAATTTGACTTGTGTGAGCTTTTTCTTCTGTTTTTTCCACCCCCTCTCTCATTAGCTCCATCCAGTGTTCCTATCAAGAAGAAATTTGTGATTGTTTGGTTCCATCCCTCATGAATAAATATTGAAAACCTATGCTCCTTTGCATTGCTTTAATTTCAAAGTCTAAATTAGGTACTGCCACTTGATTTACAATGGATTTTTTTATTTACTTTTTAATTACCCTATTTCTTTATGCAAACTTCTTTCCTCGCATAATGTCCTTACTAGATTATTGCTACACATCAAGACAGAACCTAAAGAAAGTTACATCACAAGCTCATTGCTTAACCAATGAGGCTTATTCTATTCCTACTGTTACAACATGACATTGAACGAGAGAACACATTCCTTTGAACCAACCAAGAGTGACATTCTTCTGACCAAGAGCTATTAAAATTTATGAGGGCATGTTTCTTCAGCACCATTTCTACACCTTTTTGATTTGAACAGATCTTCTTCATAATCTCTGAAGCAATGAAATATCCTTCCTCCTTATTCCTGGAAAGCAGTGCAAGCAGACTCTTGAGGTCTGAATTTTTCAATAACTAACAGTTGATCCACAAAAGTGAGATGCTCCTGCATCATCCCAATGCCAGATATGTTTAAGATAATTAAACTCAAACCATATTTCAATAATGCAGACGAACTTGTATAAAATAAAATTGCTAGCAACTAAAGTTCATAAGAAATTTTCACAAACCTAATAACCTATTTCGAGCAATCTCCCCCTGAAAAATCCCTGAATCTCTATTACAGCTTGTTTATAGTAATGAAATGCCTTCCAACATTTTAAACATCGAACGACACTTTGAATTTCTTGTCTAGAATGCCAGTACCTTGTAAACAATTGTAAGAGAAACTCCAGCAATAAAAAGAAAGAAGGCAAGCATAAAATCTGCCAAGTGAAGTCCATTCCATGGAGAATGAGTGATAATTAGAATAATTGCTCCACCATAATCAACTAGCATCATTAGCTAAATGCAACCAATGCAGATCATAATTAAGGTTAGTTTTTTCATTAACCTTAGATGTTTCGACCAATGAACTAAACAAAAAGCTCAAGTTTAAGGTAAGCTTTTCAATTCTTGATTTGAAGAAAATACATACTATCTTTGCCAATCGGAAAACATAAAAAATTCCTATAATTTTAAGCAAGAAAAAAAAAACAAAAACAAAAAAGTAGTAGCAAAACCGAGAACGAAGCAAACAAACAACAATCGAGGGAAGCAGAGCATCGAGATCATTTTAGGGGGAAGTAGAGCAAAATTGCTAGTGATTTAAGCGATTTTGGCATGAAACACCGACCAATTGGATCATGACGATTGCATCGGATCGATAGAGGATCAAGAGTGTTAATAAGTGAGTGAGGTAGAGGTAGGGATTGCATAGAAATGAGAAATGAAAGCTAAAAGGACAAATAGAGATCGAGGGGGAGAGAAAAAGTAAAAAAGAAAAGAATAGACGATGATGATCGACGGAGGGAGAAATCGGACGGGGACTTGTTGGCATGGTTTTATAGTTGAGAGAGAGATCGTGGAGGAAGTCTTTCCCGGCATCGAGAGAGACGAGAGAGACGGTGGAGGTTGAAGAGAAGATGAAGAGTTAATTGCTTTATTAAAGGGTA